ATATATATGTTTATGATATAGTTAGATAATCGGGTTATATCCGTAGGCCCTCGCAGGGACGAGCGTAGTGGCCTTGCTCGTAGGGCAAGCTGCTAGGCTCGTACGCTTTATTACCAGACCACTTAAGGACCCCTTAACTAGTTCCCTATAGTATTACTTAGGCCGCCTATAGCTATTCGCGATAGAAGCTATTAAAACAACCTTACTTATCCCGGGGTGCCTTACGTATACTAGGTATTCCCCGGATAAGATAATATCTATTATCTTAGGAAAACACTAAACTCGCTATCCCTAGTACCTGGATATATATAAAGCCGTTTATTTACGCCGTAACCTAAACTGACTATTAGTAACCCTTTAGGGAAATATAACCTCTCGTAATAGGGCTAATCCCCCTTTATATTACAGCTATAGATTCTATTATCGTATTACTCGAGGTCCGCTTACCTAGTTCTCCCTATTAAAGGGAGGGCTCCCTTTTATTCGACTCGCCTTAGACTATTTCCGATAAGTTTACCAAGGCCCCTTTCTTTACTACTCTCCTTTCCTTTCTCTTCTTTTTTAGTTTATTACCCTTAACGCTCGCTATTCCGTTACATTCCCCTTTGCACTCGCTATTCGCTCCTTATTCTTACGTAGCGGTTTACTTTCGCTTATTTACTTTCTACTATATAAAGTACTAATTCTATAACCACTATTTCCTTTCTATTATAAATATTATTACCGCCTATAGCTAATAAGTAATTACCGTGCGGCGTTACTATATTACTATTCCCCCGTAAAGGACACCCGCAGCATATAGGGCTTTTATTACCCGGGGTATATATATCTCCAAAACGTCACCTAGAAGTATATTCTTCGCCGAGAACTCTATTATTCAAAAGATAAAAGCTATTAGGTGGCTAAAGTTTAATTACTACCGGCTAATGATAAGGCCTATACAATAATTATAAGATAAAGGTAACGCTGAATATTAGTTAGTAGGCGAGGGATAAAGTTAGTCACGGATTAAGTACCTAGTATACTAAAAAGAACGGCTAGCTTATAAGGAATATATAAAGATTAGAAGAAGCTATAATAGCTTAAAGAGTTAACCAGCGCTTTTAAGGAGAGATAAAAAGACCTCGGTTAATCTAAGAATAACCTTAAAGAAAGCGTAGGTTCTAATAGTATTATAGGCAGGAAATACTAAAAGAACCGATAGCTGAAAGAATACTTAAGGTAAAGAACCTTTAAGAGGCTTTAATATAGCTTTATAGCCTTATGAGGTATTGAATAAGAAACCCGAGTTACCCGAGGTAACTACGTGTTATTTACGTATAGCGAACGGCTTTAAGCTCGGGTAAGGGAAGGTATAAGGGCTACTACAGTGAGTGAGCAAAAGTCTCGGGATAACCCAAAGTAGAATGCTTCGAAGCTTTGGGTGAGCACTTTTCTATGAGTGGCAAAACCATATCATATCACAAAAGTAACGAATCACTGCATCTTTAAAATATACCGAAATTATTGCTCACCCACTATATCTAATCTCCGAATAGCAGATATACATTACCAGTACTAAGACACGCCCAGTAACCGCGATATTCCGCTAGATTAACCAGGCCACCTATAAGAGTATAAAAACTCTCTACCACGCTATTCTACTAACATCTATCCTACCTTTATTTTTTACTAATATAAGCACTATATAAACCGTGATATCAGAGCTTTACTCTTTTCTACTCACGCTAGATTATATAAGCCCTTATACTATATAAGGGCTACTTCCCTATTATCTCCTTATTATATTACGTATATACCTATTTACGCTTTATTTATCTTTTCTCCTACTATATAATATTTAAAGCCCGGTAGTATATAGTAGAATATCTATTAGCTATTAACCGGTTCTAGATCGCCATATTCGAGTACTAATTCTCTGTGTATTCTTACTGTGTCAGAACTGGTAAGGGTTTACTATTTAAGGGTTACTTCTATGCCAAATAGTATTCGGTGATAAGAGTCTCCCTATTACTAAACTTTCTATATCCGGGGCCGTATTCTATATTTAGTATAAGGAGAATAAGAAAATCATTATAGATTACCGTAGCCGTGCTACCGTATTAGGGTATAATAACCAGCTTAATTATAACTTATATTAAATAGTATCTACTCCTATAATTAAGGTAAACCGTGTAAGTAGTATACATAACGCTAGAGTACTCGCCATTATTTATCCTTAGCCTTTGTTTTTACGAGATTATAATCTATGTATAGTAAACTCGACTAAGCGCGAAGAAATATTTAAGTAATACCTTATTAGTACACCTTAATGTCGTATACCCCAGGTCGTATACCCTAGGAACCCGATAAACGATTTTTACCGGACCCCCTTTCCACGCCTTATACCGCTAACCCCTTTACTCCGTAAACTATCTATATACTTACCTCGCTTATATCCTTCCCCATTTAGTCGGGCGCGAGTAGTATAATCCCGTGGCGGATAGGATAATACCCGGCTATATCCCATAAATAATAAGAAAGTTATCTTATGTTAGGCTTAAGGTCGCCGATATAGTTAAGGTTCGCTATAAAGGTAAGCTTAATAAGGCTACCTTCTTAGCTAAGATAAGTGACTATTATAGGCTTATTAGGTTTTATATAACGTCTATCGGTTAGTGTCTCTAATTAATAAAATAAAATACGATATTAACTATCCTATATGCTATTAACGTCCTCGCCTAACTTCGTCTAAGTATAGGGGGTAATAATACCTAGACTACTATAAACGCCGCTAATCTGCTTATAGCTAGCAGTATAAAAAGGTTATACTAAGGCTATACTAGCTTCGTAACGGCTAAACGTTTTTACGCTAGGCTAGGATACAAAATAGTATAGATATAGGGTTATAAGTATCTAGCTAAGCGACTATTCCAGCCTAACACGGTATATATTCACGAAGAGTTTACGTATAATGGCTAGCGGTTAGCCGCGCTCCAATAACGCGGCTAAGGAATAATATTACCCGTACCTATTAGAATATAAGCTAAAAACTTTATTAACGATTATATTATCCTAAGCGAGGTATAAAACACTATAGGGCTATTATTTCTACTTATGCTTTAGCCTATAAAGGACTATACGTAGTTTACTAAGGTTGGCGCTAATAGTAGTATAGACTCCGATAAGCGCGCTATAATAGTAGGTAGGTTTACTAAGCATACCAGACGCGCCTAGGACCTTATTCTCTATACTATTATTATTGCTAAGCACTATAAGAAGTTAGCGATTAAAGGTCTTATATTATTGTACGATCTTAACCGTACTAAGCTAGATAGGCGCGCGGCTAAAATAGCTATAAAAGCTATCCAGGATATACTTAAGATTGATAAGGAATATTAGGGTTTCCCTAATAGGGAAGCCGAACTAGTATAGGTTAAGGAGGTATAGTCGAGACGGTATCTATTATATAGTTATAAGAGTATAGATAATACAATAATAGAGTTTGCCGGGATTATAGGTTTAGTATTTAGTATTTAGCTTATAGCCGTATAGCGCAGATATATAGAGTGTATTTAGAGTTAGTATATAAGGAGGAAAAGATAGGGTATAAGTGCGCTATCGGAAAAACAGACACGGGTTATAATTAACAGATATAGGTTTATTACTTAGTTTTCTTTTTTATTTATCCGTTCCCTATCTAAACTACCTCTAGGCTAAGTATATCAAGCGATATAGCTACTAGAAACTTTATAGCTATAAAGTGGCGAGAGGAGTTAATAGTTAGCGTAGTTAGCGCCCTGTATATATCCGTTCCTTATTTCGTTCTATAACTCGTTACCTATACTTATATACGGTCGTAAGTTATGATTATCCTGTGTAGTATACCTATAGCGTCGCGGTCCGTATATGCCGCCCTAGGACGCCCGCGGGATATAGGGCTTTTCTTACCCGGGGTATATAATACGACTATATTAGGCAGGCACTATACGTATATAAGGATCCCGCGGTATAGACCTTATACGAATATACAGGCCTAAGCTATCCGCTTATTTAGGCCGGAGCTATATATCGGTATAGATCCGGAACTATACGTTTATATATAAACCGGATAATAGATAGTCCGAGCCCGCTGAAGATATATATCCTAGGCGCTATTCCCCCCTTAGTTTAGTAGAAGATATCTTTATTTAACCCTATTTACTACAGTAAAGGTCACCCTTTTAAACCCTAGAATCCCTAGGTCCGATAGTACTAGCTGGCTAGGGATTTAGCTAGACAGGGTATATTAGAAAAGTTATAAGCTTTTGGTTTAAACCGAAGCCTTTAATTAGTTAGTTAACCTAGGAAGACCTACCTTACCTAAGGGGGTGTATTATATAGGCATAGACTATACCTAGTAGACTATGCCTAACTAAGGTCTTCGGGTCTTAGGGACCTCGGATATTAGGATATAATAAGGGTAGATACCGGGAAAGACCGGATAGGATCCAAATAATATAGTACCTATAACAGAGTCCCTTACCACCTAAATTAACGGTATAAGAGACTTATAGAGATATAACCTTTTGATTAATTACGATAGAAATAGATAAAAATGGAATTAATATTGTAAGACTCGAATTGTTGCGAACGAAGAAGTATGGATTCCTTCGTAGTATGTGACTTGTATGAGTAAAAAGAAGAATGGATTCTGAGATTCGGGGCATTGTATTTGACCCGAACGGAGGTGGCAAAGTCGTGGTCGTACGATATAGTCTATTACGTCACACCACGATACAATACTATCCTCGATAGTAGAGTATTAGATCTTCAATATACGAGGTAATCTCGTATATAAATCGAGGATATATCTAAGTATAAGATAAGCATAGCTATATTATAGTAGAGCTCTGGTATTAAGCTAGAGGCTTATATATAATTATAAAATATACTTAGAATTATTTGATAATAATATCAACATAACCTAATAATATAATACACACGCACGAGATTTCTGCTCTATCAAGTTAACTGTATAAGTGCTATTTTGACGTGCGACATGTCTATCTACCTTAAATAGTACTACAAAAAGGCCTGTGTGACACACGTGACATGTACCCTAAGAACCGACGCGGGGAACCAAAAGTACGGCCCCGATACGCCGCCTACTCCTTCTGACAGTAGGCGTATGAGATCTCATATATCGAATGCTATGCTTTGAGCTCCCTTGTTCGGCATCCGGTGCAGAGCACCATCATATGTCCTTGTTCCTCTCTCGTGAACATAGTCCCGTCGTCAAATGTACCATTGCAGACAGCACATCGGAGGCAAGCCTCATGCCACTCAGCTCCGAGGGCTCTGATATACTGTCCCACCACTGCGAGTCCACACTTTTTGCACTTCGACGCCTGTCTTTCCGTTCGCTTCGTCTGGCAATTGACACACCAAGCATACCCGTCCTTCTCAATGTGGGCCATGCCTCGCTCGAATGGGTCGCCACATTCTGCGCAGAAGAAGTGCCCATAGTGCCAATGCGCCCCAAGTGCAACAATGTGCTCGCCCAGGATAGGCGTTTTGCAGTGTTTGCACCTCGGTGCAAAAAGCTCGTGCCAATCCAGATGGCAGTAAAATCGAAGGCGCTCGTCCCCATCCTCGTCCCTAGATTGCCCAGGCACTTCATTTAGAGACTCTCCCTGTGCCCGGCGTCGGATTCTGTCAAGTCGTTGAGTGCGATGGGAATCGGGCTCTGGGCTAACTTCCAATGCCTCCAAGCTGGTTCCACAAGTAAAACACACAAAGCAATGGGGATGGAACCGTTGGGGCATGCCAGCAACTGACACAAAACGGCCTTGCATGCAGAGACCGCATTGGTGGCATGTGGTAGCTAAGTCCTTACCGGTTGATGGGGCAGGTGACCAATGGCTGTGAGACCTCCCGGTATGCCTCTTGCCTGGCGGTGACGCAGAAAGTGGCTGTGGCAACGAAGAAGAGTTTGAATGGGCGTGGATGTCGTCAGCAGGACAGACAATGAGGGACGGGGTTGAGTTAAGATGGGTTTCCCCTCGTGTATCTTGCACGACAATGGACGGAGGATCTACTGCACCGAATCGAGCAGTGACCGCTCCTGCCATGACAACCGCAGGAGAAGTGGCAGGTATGGGCAGCTTTTGTCTTCCCGTCCATCGTGCTTCATTTATCGTCGCTGCTACTGGATGGTGATCGGTCGTCTCGTCTGGTGCCTTCCAGTGGACATCGAAACTGACAATCGGCCGTCCTGGATGATCACTGACGGCTGAGGGGCATGGCAACCTCGAACTTCGATCTCTCAGTCTCATGGAAGTGGCATCTCGTAAATCCTGGCTTCGGATTTCGAGTCCAGTCTTCGTTGCGAAGCTGGAAGGGTGGGGGTGTAGGTCGGGGGAATTTATGACGTAGTGTGGGTTATGTGATTGAGTAGAAGACCGTCGGGAGGCGCGCTTGTGATGCCCAGAAGAACTTTCGAACTTGTCTGCAGAGGAGAATGTCGAAATACGAGAATTGGCAAGTTTGTCGACGAATGGCTCACGGTCATCTTTGGAAAGGGGCTGATGGTTATATGCCTCAGCGGAGCTGCTATTTGAGTTTTCCCGGGTTGATTGCAGGTAGTCGTTCATTCCGCCATTTTGTCGCTTCTTCTGGCATATTTCACCACGAATGCCAGGGGACGACGTGCGAGTCTGGGAGCAAGGACTCCTCGTGAAATTAATCCCTCTGACCTCGGACCCTGGCGACTGATTCGCCTGTGCATTGACACCTGACAAGCCATTCCGTGCAACTTGCCTGCTTTTCAAAGATGTTCGGGGTACAGTACTGGTACTGCGTGTCGAAGAGCTGCTACGATTCTGCGAGTCCTTCGCCATGTACGAGGTTGGTGATTGGTCAGCACTTCTACCCTCCACATCAGGCTTGTAGCGATAAGGAGCATCAAGCTGGCGCGGTCGTCCATGTTGATGCTGCCATACCAGCTCCGAGGCCTCATCCAGGGCTGCTTTATATATCAATCCCTCTTCATCTCGGTGCGTTTCGTTGTATTCCGTGTCCCCGAGATGCATATCTTCCATGGCAATTCCAAGAGACTCGGTTTTGGTCTTCTCCATCCATCCGAGTCCTCGGTCGGTGTTAATACTGTTAGGGAGATTCCGAGAGGGCTTCGTCGGAATCTGGCTAATTGAGAGTCGGTAATTGCGACCAGATGGTCCTTTCGCTGTACATGGGGTATCAATGCAGCTTGTCGGATGTGCATCAAGGCTCGTGTGGCTTCCTGCTGAGTGAACGTTCATAGACCGACGCGACGGCGAAGCATCAACACCCCAATGGTGGACCTTGGCCGAGTCCGCACTTTGAGGAGGGCAGGGTGGAGTGGGCAATGGTCTTGCGCCACTGGGACGAACCAGACGTTCATTCCGAAGGTCTGCTAGATATGAGGCTGTTAAAGTGCTATTTCAGGGAGGAGGAACGAGAAGATGCATAAGATGCGTGGTACGAGTATATGATCAAACATTGGCACTAACTTACCAATTTTCTCAGGGGTCGTACACGCCGCTAAGAGAGAAGGATCCTTGCTTGTCACCATGGGTGATGATTTCCTGTCCCGCATTGTGATGGTAAACTGGTCTTGATGGACGGGAATCGGCGGTTTGGGTTGGTATGTGAAATGCTGAGAGGATGTGTCTCGGTGCTGTCAGCATTACGTACTTGAGACTCAGGGAAATATAACGTGGTTTGGCATCTTTTCGTAGCCTGCTACAAAGGTGGAATGGCCTTAAAAGAGTCGGAAGAATGATGCTATGAAATTCGGTATGGCGACCAACAACTCGCCTGCTCCGCGATGATTGAACCGATGTTTCAGTCCTATCGTGTCATCTCCACAGCAACAAGACCGACTCTTAAGCGTAGCTAACTGTCGCACGTCAAATAGGCACTTAGATGATCAACTTAGTAGAGCAGAAATCTCGTATATGTGTATTATATCAAGTTACATCTATAAGAGTCTCTTATACCCTTAATTTAGGTGGTAAAGACTCTGTTATGGGTACTATATTATTTGGATCCTATCCGGTCTTTTCCGGTATCCGCCCCTATTATATCCGAAGCCCTTAGTTATAGCATGGATCCCCCCTGGATCCCCTATAGACCACGTCGTGGTCCGTGTGCCTATATAACAAACCCTCTTAGTTAAGGTGGGTCGTCTCAGGTTAACTAACTAATTAGAGGCTTCGGTTTAAACCAAACGCTCTTAACTTTTCTATCGTAAAATTAATAGTTAAGGGAAAACTCCCTCGTAAAAGGGATCTAAATCCGCCCTATTTAACCGTTTAATTCAAATCTATCCTAATTAGTTCCTCGATCCTAATTAGCCGGATCTACTTAATCGGATCTATATCCATCGGATCTACTATGCCCTAAGGGCCCTCGTCGTCGCTACGGCTTTAGCGCGTTCGATCTTTTCGCGCAGTTATTTTAACCACTCGATACGATCCTTTTAATTCGTTAAATTAAGCTATTACTATAGTCTTTTAATCCCTGCCTCCTGCAGTGCCTTCGTTAACCCGTCCGCGATTATATCCTTCGTGTTAACGTACGTGACCTTAAAAAGGCCTTACTATACTAACTAGCGCGCCTACTAGTTATCAATATCAATATACCGTAGCCTTATTCGTAGGCGTTATGCCTTCTTATTAACGAGGTCAATAGTCTACTAATTATTGTAGTATAGCTATAGTTATTATTAATCCAACCAAAGCTTTAGATCCCTTAATATCCGACTAACGAATAACGTCTCCTTAGCGGCCTTTATAAGCGTATGTAGTTCTAACTCTATTAATAATGTTATAACTATCGGTTACTTACCCGCCTTCTAGTTAATAGTACCGCTAAAGAGCTTTATCACGTATCCTTAGGAGCTTTTACGGTCCAGATTATCCCCGAAGAACGCGTCGCTTACAGTTAGGAAGAGTCTATCCCCACTAAATTCCAGGTAGTAGTGCCTTATATAGTATAAGAATAGCAGCACTTATTAAGCCCTTTTAAGGTGGTTAGAGGAGGGGTTAACGTTATATTAGGAAAGCTTCGAATAGGCGAACACGATATCGGGTCGTATCACGATAACGGTATACAGAATAGAACCGATTATACCCTAATACTAATAGACCTCGGGAATTATCGCCCGTATACCGTCGCGTAGTATTAACGGCTCTATAGATAATAGGACCTTTAGTGGTTTTCGGTAAAGTATATCTATGTAGTATTTAATAGCGATCTTCTCCACGTGAGAGGATTATAATAGCTATAACCTATAGGTGGCGCTATCCTTTAGGACCTTAATTCCTAGGAACTAACGGATTTCTTCGCCTCCTAATAACCTATAGCTTCGCTTAAGGGCGGCCTCGAGGTTATTAGCGTTAGTCTTACGGTCTCTATAGTATATAAGTCCGATATTATCGATATAGAAGCACAGGATTAAACCGTCGCGGATTATAATATAGGGGTTATTAGGCGTGGCCGTGAATCCTATTTTCTATAGCGTACCGCTAAATTCCTCCTACTGTAGTAGTAGCGATACCCTTAAACCGAAGAGGGCTTTCCGTAGTAGTAGTACCTTACCTAGCACTTTATAGCCTTACGGTATCTTTATAAATACTTCCTCTTTAAGGCTAGCGTTAATAAACGCGTTAATAGCATTAACCTACTTTATTTCTAGGTTAAATCGGGCGGCGATCGCTAGTAGTATACGGAAGGACCGCGAGGCTAATATAACGGTGTAATTATCTTTAGTTTCTAACCGTTTTTATTAATCTCCTCGTATTATAAGGCGTGTCTTACACTTAAGGAGGGTGCCCTCCTTAATAAACTTATAGGTGTATACCTATCTATAAGCGTGGACTTATTACTTATTAGCCTAATTACGACCTACCTCCTACTAATAGCCTATCTATCGGTAACCCTTAAGGTACTCTCTCTTAGCCTATAACCACCGCTCCCGTAACGGGTAAAAGCGTATATTTTAGTAATCGTTTAGCGGAGGCGGGAAATCCTCGCGGGTTAAGCGCGATAACGGCTAAGAGGCGTTAAAGGGAGAGGGATCTATAGCACCGATATCACTATTATTAATAGCTTACTTCCTTATACTTATAGGGTTATTAGTCCTTCCGGCGTTAAAGAATGCCTTCTAAGCGTTATTATTCTATACCTTCTCGGTTATATAGAAGCTTATAATAGATAGGCGCGCGGGTAATAAGCGCGCGGCCGATAGGTGTACGGCCGATAGGCACCCCCTAAGGATATCCGCGGCTGCCCGTTAGTGGTTATCGTCTCCTTCTACCTTAACGCCCCTAACCACCGCTAACGCTATAAGGAACGCGCGCGCAGGATCTTTAGGGGATATTGGAGGCATAGAAAACGGTTCGAACCTCGTAGCGGTAAACCGCGGAGTATCCGTAATAGTATCTGCATCTGTAGTAATAGCGGTAGCCTCTCCCGTAACAATAGCGGTAGCGTCTTCCTCGCCCGTAGTAATAGTAGTATTATCGCCTTTACCCGTAATAAGAGCGGTAGTATAATCTTCTTTTATAGTAATAGTAATGTCCGTAGTAATAGCGGTGCCCGTAGTAATAACAGTAGCCTCTCTTATAGTAATAATAATAGCCTCGCCTTCTTCCGTAGTAATAGCAGTAGCGTCGGAGTCTTCCGACTCAAGATCTAATACGTCTACGGCTATAGCCCTTAATAGTAGCCTATTCGTCGTCGTGATTGTATTAGATTAGATAATACGGATAGATTATAGAGGTTCCCTAATTTCCTTAGCGGAAGCTATAGCTTATAGCGTTTTAATCCTACTATTAAAAGTCTCGTCTTCGTTAAAAATCACGTCTCTTATAGTGATAATATCCGTTAAGTGTGGCAGCCACACGCGGAAGCTATTCAAGGAATAGTATCTAATATAATACCCGATCTATACCTTCAGTTCTAGCCTTTATAGGCGGTTCCTTTTAGCTTAGGTATCGCACGTTTTTATAAAGGCTTTATAGCCGTATACTGGTAGGTGCGTAAGGTTAGGTTAACGGCCGTGTAGGCTTTCGTATAGCGTTCGCTAGTCGTTAATATACTATAGCGTCCTATTATAGAGATATATAGTAGTCTTAAAGATCTTAGGATAAATAGATATAGACAGATTAGCCCTAATCCTTATAGCCCTCGCCCTCCTTTTAATAATACCTTCAATCCGTTTTATAACGCCGTTTTAATCCTATGAATATAATACTAACGGCTAACCTTCTACCCCCTTAGTAGCGAGAAAAGTAATAACTTCTAGGTACTAAAATATCTCGGAATCGGCCCGTGAAATATATAGCCTAACGTCGAATTAAGTCTTAAGTAGGGTAAAAACGTCTTTTAGCGCGTGCAGAATAAAGCTGTAGTCTCTTTGCTATAAGTAGTAATCCTATATATAACCTATATACACGTCTATAATAAGTTTAATAGACTTAAATAGGCCGCCCGCTAATAACTCCGCCTCTTCTAGATCGTGAAAATTAATAACTAGGGCCTTTCCGGGCTTTAACAGGTAAAGGGATAGTATCCGCCGGATCTACGTAGGTAATTATAATTACCTATACGCGCTATAGTCCGTTATACAAGGTTCCTTTATTTTTACCCCCTAAATAGCGTTAACGATCTTTATAAAAGTATCGGTGCCGTAGTGGCTAAACCGTTCGTGCTACCGTTATACCGTGGTCTTCTACGGTTACTTCGGTTATCGTGATCTTCTATACGGGTTATCGCGGGGGCGCCTTACTAATACCGCTAATACGGTAGCGGCCGTGGCTTCCGCGCGCTTAATTATATACTAGCCGTGGATATCTAGTAGCCTATAGATAGGCCGGTTATCGGTGGAGCTAATAATAGTATCGTTTACGGTATCCTAGCGGTAACCTTATAGGCGTAGCTAGTATTCCGAGACGATATTAGTAACGAATTCCATATAATATACGATATTATAAAGGCGTAGCAGCCTTTTTATACCCGATAGGGATTATATATACAGCTTAATATCTCCGTATCCGAGGATAAAAGCCTTATAAGTACCCACCTAAAAGGATAAAGATAAAGTATCCGTGGGTAGTCTAATAGCCCGAAAACAGCCTCGATTATTAAAGACGTGGATCGACGATCCTAAGTTTAGGATAGCGTAGTATAGTAGTGCTTTAGCTTAGTTAATAGATAAGGATACTTCTTATACTTATAATCTTAATAGTAGTATCGTATAAGGACGCGCTATCCCCTTATCTTAGGAGGGGTAGACACCTAGCCGTATACTCGCGGTAATAGAAAGGTCTTTTAAAACTATACTTATGGGTCGAGTTATAACCTCCCGATTCTATTATTACGGTATAATAGTTATAATAGGCGTAGTATTATAGAGTCAATCTTCCTAGACTTCCTCTATCTTATTAGCGGTACTAGCTACTACTTCCCGCCTCTTCTATACCGCGGTATCTACGCGGCTTTTAAAACTATAAATATATATTTTGTTTTCCGCGACCTTTATAATATCTTCACGGCCACGCTAGGTATCAGGGCGTATATCCGGCCTTATATACTAATAGGCGGCGGTAGTATAGGGGTTCTTATATATTTTATAAGGCCTCCTTATTACGGGAGGGATAGCCTTTACGGACGTATTAATATAAAGACGCTTCATATTATCTTTATTATTAGCAGTATCCTTAGTATCGGGGAGGTTCTTAAGGGTGTTAAAGGTGCCTCTCCCGACTCTAGGCTTTATAGCGGAGGATTATAGGCTCTTTATATTACTAAGAACCCCCTTAAAGCC